AGATCAGTGGGCCCTGGGGGGGTCAGCTTTCCCCCCAAACTGCTCTTTCTAATGGCGAGGAGGGGTGTGGGGTGTGTAAAGAAAGTTCCTCCTAGGCCATGAGCAGGGTGAGGGGTTAGAAGAGTAGGGCTGGGACGTGACAGGCCAGCAGAGCTTGGCTCAGTCATGGAGACTCTGAGCCCACACAGCCACGAGTCAGCCTGTCTTCTCCACTGGGCACCACAAGAATCCCCATCTAAGTTTTCAATATGGCTACTACTTCTTCTCCTTCCCAGGGAAGAGAGCCTGGGGGTGCTGCCCGTCCTGTGGATGGAGAAACTGAGGCTCAGAGCATTCTAGCAATTTGCTCAGAGGGAGTGGCTGGAGCATTTGCTCTGGGTTTGAGCGCAGTCACCTGGGAACAGCACCCGGGAAGCATCTTTCTGCCCTTCACTTAGCCTGAGAGTGGTGCCTCTCGATTTTGAACTTCAGGAGTTGGCTGACCCAGGGCCCCGTCCCCAGAGCATTATCCAGGAGAGCAGATGGTGGGCTGGAAGCGCCCCTTGTACCCTTCCCCTGCAGCTGGGAACAGTGAATTCTGGGACAGTGAATTCTGGGAGGAAGGACAGTGAATTCTGCTGCTTCTCCTCTCTCCACCCTTCCTCCTGCAGTGGCCTGACATGTGCCTCCCATGACACCATCTTGTTCTCTGGGGCTCCCCCAGTGTCTGATATCTAAATTTCATACCATTAGGGTATCATCTGGGTGCTTCTGGTTGCGGGCCGGGGCTGAGGCTCATTGCTTGAGTTTGGTTGAGTTTTGCCTGTAAATCTCGTCTTTAGAGATGGGACAGAGCTGGAAGCGGAGCCGAGAGATGACTTTAGCCACCTCCCCTCATTATAGGAATGAAAAAGCTGAGGTCCCCAGGAAATTAGGACTCTGTATACGGACCACTGCTTCCCTGGAACTAGCAGGGAAAAGGTCCCTTGTGTGAAAATCCTTAGGGTGGGGCCACCCAGACAGAGAATCAGCCCTTGAGCAGGTGCACAGGGCGTGCTGGTTCTCCTTACACATCAGAGAGCTGAGGCAGGCCAGGGACGGTGTGATCTGTACAAGGTGACAGAGCACAGGTATAGGATCCCAGCACAGGGACGTGAGAATCCAGAGACCTTCGCTCTGAGGGAACCAGTGATTGTGGCCCCAGCCCCTGTCCTGGGAGACATGGGTCCCGGGTACCCGCCCATTTCCCATCACTCGCTGCACACCTGGAACCCAATTGCAAAGGCAGTCACCTCTGGGGGTGCACAGTTCCAGGGGGTGGGGGTTCTGGGGTTGTAGCCTGGCTATGGTTCACCACCTCCACTACCAAGGGGACTGCTGGATCTGCATGGTGCCACCGAGCCTCACCTCTCCTATGCCCCAAGGGACAGCAGCCATCAAGCTGGGCCCACAGGTACCACCAGCCGGGTTCCGGCCTTTGCTTGCTGGAGAACGGGCGTGTTTTGCAGAGGCCACAGGTTCATCCAACCCTGTGCCCACTCCCTACTCACAGTGCTGTGTCCTGAAGGCTAATCAACTTCCCAAGTGTCACATTAGTGTGCACGAGTGCATTTGCCAGGTGTGGGTAACAAACCTGCCCTGTGTGCCCTGCCCATCTGGTGCACACATTCAGTGGCCCATGTGCCAATTTGCTAGGACCTTAAGGTGAAATACCACTTTCCTCTCTGTCCTCTGCCCCTTTCCCACTTACAGTGGTTAATTCTATATGCCTGAGTCACAGGGCTCAGATATTTCGTCCAACATTTTTCTGGATGGTTCTGTGTGTATTTTGGATGGACGCAATTAACATTTAAATCAGTTAAACGGTGACACTGCGAAGAGCAAGTTATTCTCCATAATGTGAATTGACCTCATCCAATCAGTCGAAGGTCTGAATAGAACAAAGTCAGGGTTCTCCTGGGCAAAGAAGCTTCTGCACAAGCTGCCTCTTGACTTGAACTACAGCCACAGCTTGTCAGCTTCACCCATCAGATTTGGGTTGGATTCGCCAAACCTCCATAATTGCACCAACCAGTTCCTTAAAATACATCTTTCTTCCTACATAGACATCCTGTTGGTTCTGTTTCCCCAGAGAGCTCCACTAGATCACCTTTATCTGGGGACAAGGGACAATCACTCAAACATTAAGGGGTCTCTCCTTACATATGGTCCTCTGGGGACATCTCTGTGATATCCAGGGATTGCCTCTGATTCTCCCTCTTCAGGTCTGTGTTGCTCTAAAACTCTCCCTTCATCTGGCGATGTCGGGTAGGGCAATGTTGTGATTCACCCATCGGGCAAGAAGGAGGGCCAGGAGCTTCAAGTGGGAGGGACCCAGAGTCAGAACGGTTCCCTCTTGACGTCTGGGAATGATATTTATTCATATTTATTTATATAATCCACAGTACTTTGGCATCATATATGATTTCTGAGTTGAGTTTTTTTTTTACTTGTATGTTTGACATACAAATCTTTTGATTGTGGAGAAACTTACAAAATAGGCTCTGGTTCTGAGATTGATTTATAGATGGGAAATGAGACAGTACTGGTGGCCCCAACCCCCAGGAGAGGAGAACATGGCCTGTCCCTAAGCAACCTGCAGACTCTCCTTGATGTGGCCCCTCATCCTCCAGTCTGGTAAAGTTCCATCCTAATCATGCCACAGTCAAAAAGCAGCTTATATTTAGGAGTGGATTCTATTTTTTCCTGTGTGCACAAAAACAAGCCTGGCATGGTGACAGAGAAAGAGTCTTTTAGAGAGAGAAAAGGACATCTTAGGAGCTAATTACAATGACAAAAATTGGAGTAGACAGCATCTAAACCACTGTCCAGCTTGGAAGTGCTTCCCCATTGCCTCCAAGCACGCTGACTGACTCCTTTGCTACGGGTGGCACAGTGGCTTGGGCGTTGTTCTGCCCACAGTAACCAAAGAACACGAGGATCATCACAGGGTGCCGATGGCATGGGAGCTGGGCCTTGTGGTTGCTACCAGTTGATAGACAGGGGTTGAAAAGTCACACACAAAGCAAAATGAACTGAATCCTTAGAGTTGTGGGTGGGTATATGGGGAATGGGCTTGGGAGCAATTTCCACCAAGCTCCTCAGAGCAGGAGGGGTTGCTCCAGGGTCCCTGGTGAGTCAGTGGTTGGCTTCTCTTCTTTGCCCTCTACCATGCTGAAGCAGGTGGCATAATCCAGCTGTGAACCAACCTGCCTGCTAAGGGCCAAGTCATGCCCTCTCCCAAATTCTTACATTGAAGCCCTAATCCCTAGGACCTCAGAATATGACTATGTTTGGAGACAGGACCTTTAAGGAGGTGATCAAATTAAAATTGATCATCTAGTTAATTGCGGTGGACCCTAATCTAATTGGTTGGCGTGTTTATAACAGGGAATCTGGACATACCAAGAGACCTCGGGGGCACATGGGCAGGAAGACTGTGGGAGTCACAGCAAGAAGGAGGCCATTTGCAAGCCAAGCAGGAGGCCTTAGAAGAAACCAATCCAGCCAACAACTTGACCTTTGACTTCCAGTCTCGGGAACCATGAGAAAGTAAACTTCTGTTGTTTGAGCCTCTCAGTCTTGGTGGTTTCTGGCAGCCTGAGTTGAATAAGACGCTGCCTTTCCCCAGGCGCCTGCGGGATGGCTTCCTGTACCTCGTGCCAGACCCCTCCACAGTGGCTCTGTATCTAATGGCATCTCCAAGAGAAAAGTAGACACGGCAAAAAATGCACAGCGAGGAGAGCATGATATTGTTTTTCTATCTAAAGCCTGAAAATCAAAAATGTACAAGGTGAGCCAACTCCTGGAGATCGGAGTGGGTCATGGTGGCAGTGGCTCCTCCGCCATTTTCCTCCTGGGAACTTCACAGAGGTTTCCTGACTCCTAGCTAGGGTTCCCCCCAGGAAAACAGGTGTCACCCACCTGTTCTTCTGGAAGCACCTGACTTGCCTACTATGTCAGATGTTCACCTATATTAGGGTTCTAGGAGTATGTTCACAGGCTCCCTTGGGGCGGGGCAGCTGGAGCAGTCTGAGCCTGGCTTGGTTAGGCTCCAAATGGGCCAGGTGTCACCAAATCCAGCTCCAAATCCCAGGGAGCTCCTTTGAAAGTTGCCTTATACTTAGGTGATATAGACACCTGTCTATGTGATTAGACTGTAGGGCCTTCAGTGGGAAATATGGCCCTTGTACACAGGGACAGTACCTCCAGGAACAGACATAGTACCTGGTACTACTGACCCAGACCAACTGAATTCTCAAATTCTCATTGACAGAGTCCCCTCTTTGGGTTAAGGCATTAAAGGCCCCTGTTGAATCTGTGATTAAGGGGCCACGCTATTAAGACAGCTGCCAACACCTCTTTGTGAGTTCATCAGCGTGGCCTCAGACCCAGCCTTAATGCCTGGGTTCAGGGCTGCTGGGCTCTGGAGGACGGGAGGAGGGAAGGTCCATCGCCTGGGTGGTGGGGTTCCGCAGGCAGGTGTGTTTTGTGGAGGGAAGTGTGTGACAAAAAAAAAAAAAAAAAGGAGACAGCATTTCAGGGGGAATGCCTGCGACACTTCTCAGAGCCAGCCACACCTCCCTCTCAGAGTCATTTTTCGGCTGGATGGCCCAGGTCATGAACGTGAGGCCAGGCCAGGTGGCAAGCACTCTAGTCCTGTTGCTACATCAGGGACTCAGCATCTCAGAACTGGCCTTGGCCGGGTGTGGAGTTGGGAGTGTGGGTACAATAACAACCAGAACACCAGCTTCTCCAGGGCAGGGGGCGCTGCTGAGCCACTGCTGGGATTGGCACCCCAGAGGCGGGGCTTCACCTATGCTCTCAGCCAATCAGTGTGCTCCCTGGCTCCAGGGTCCAGACATCCACGGGAGGTGTGAGCTACTCTGGGAGAAGAAGGGAGAGAATGTGGTCAAACAACAGGGCTAAGCAGCGGGTGGCCTGGGCTTGCCAACCACAGGCTTGGGGCTCAAGGGCCATCAGGGGAGGAGGGTAAGGGCTGTCTGGCTGTCCACAGTCCAGGCAGGGAGGTGCTGGGGTTCAGCAGGGAGAAGATGACATCTGGTCATAGTCGGGGCACTTGAGCAAGGCTGGGTAGTTGCTGTTCATCTGAAGGGAGGTGTCGCTGGAGATGTCGGAGGGGCTGCGGCCCCGGATCCAGGCATCTGGGTGCAGGAACTGGCCGGAGTAATCGGAGCAGTTACTCAGACGTGGACGGTAGAAGCCAGGGTGAGGCCTGTACATGTCCTCGGCCGTATACCTCTTCATGAACAGGTACACAGACATCACCCCTGCACTCTACAGGGAGGAGGAAGGAGAGAAGAGCTCACTGCTCAGGCCTGGCCGGGATCCCCCTGCTGGGGTCTGCCCAGGACACAATCATGGGGGACCTCAGGAAAGGTGGTCAGTAGATGTGGGGACAGAAGTGGGCCCTGGAGACACCCTAGATAGAGGAGCCCTGGGAAGGCCAGAGAGTGGCACATGCTAGATGTGAAAAAGGGTCATGAAGCTGGTGTTTCAGGATACTTATGGAATGCCTTCCTTCTCCCAGCCCAGCAGGGCAGCCCATTCTGACACGGGACACAGTGGGCAGGTTACCTCTGTTAAAAGGAAGGAGATGGCAGCAAAGGCAAATGACCATCCGTATTTGTAGCTGAAATAGGTCTCTGCATCCTTGGTCCTGTTGAGCATCTCGTCATTGATGCTGGAGATGTAGAGCACTAGGCCCACCACAAGAGAGAGGCCTGGGAGAAGACAAGGGAGGGAAGGGGACACTCAGCACAGAGGCCCAGGAGCTTGCTGATGTGGCATTCATCAGGAACAGAGCTGCTGGACTTTTAATCACAGTGCATTCATTTTGGAGTTCAAGGGCAAGCAGGAGCTTGCTTACTGAGGATCCTGTCTAGACCAGCACCTTCTAGATAGTGGTGGATAGCTGCAGCTCAGGAAGCTCCCTGTCCAACCACCCTCCTGAGCCAGGGACCAAGCCCGGTGGTCCTTCCCCAGCTGCTCACATCTGCCAAACACACCTGCCTGAGCCCCAGCCCTGGACATTCTCATGTGCTGGGCCTGGGCTGGAACCCTGGCACTGTATTGTCCTAAAAGCTCCCCAGGTGACACTAACGTGAACCAACGTGGAGGTGCACACCCTGAGCTAGCAAGTGGCTTCTACAAAACTGAGAAGAAGATAGGTTCCCTGAGCAGGATGCCAGGCCTTTGTCCCTCTCTCCGGCAGCAGGTGGTGCCCAGCACTGTGGCATCTACTGATGTGGCCAGAGGTCTGCGCAGCCCACCTGAGCACAGGGCAAGGCCTATCTGAGATCTTTAGGCAAAAGACTAAAAACAGTATGTGCAGATTCTGGCCAGCATTTAACTGGGAGGCCACTGGGACCCAAACTCCTCCTGCCATTATGTAAATGACTGCCTCCGGCATCAGTCTCATCAATTAGTAACTGTAATTGAATCAAGACCTAATTAATTACTCTGTGTTGAGCTGTTCGGGTTTTAATTCTATTCACATTATTATACGAAACTCGGGCATCTCAGAGGATGAATATTAGAGTGAAATAGATGTGATTCAAACCTTTCTAAATACCTAACTCATGTGTGAATCATTAATGTCCACACATGCCATTCTCTATTGTTATCAAAACAATTTCATGTGGCCTCGCCCAATCCTAGATTTCTGTGGCCCACTCTCGAAATCTCAGGAGTCCCAAAGCAACTGTAGAGCCTGGGCGATGTGAGGTTCACAGCAGGAAGGGTAAAGAGCTGAAACCTGCATCTGTATATCTCTGCATAGGAGGAAATATCACCATGCGAAGGTTGGGCTGGTGATATTGCAGGTGCTCCATAAATATTTGTTGGGTTGATGGATAGAAGGACAGAAAACTGGATTAACAGATGGAAGAATGGCAGATGGGTTGGTGGGTAGAGTAAAGAATAGTTGAACAAATTGAAGAAAGAATGGTTGGGCATATGCATGGGTGGATGGATGGAAGGAAAGAAAAAGAATGGTTTTTGGTCATTAGGCAATCTGACAGCCGCCTGGCTACCAAGCTATATTGACAAGAAAATATTGAAAAAGGGATCCTAAAGTGACTTGGGAGTCAGATGGCAGTCATAATGCCTGGTGCACAAGAGCTCCTTCCTTCTTTCCTTCCTGTCCACCTGTCCATCCATACACCATTCAAACCACCCACCCATCTTCCACCTCATATTCTCCTTCCTACCCTCCTCTCTCCAATCAACAAGTTCAAGGCACCTAAAATGCATGCCCTGAGAGTCACTTCTTTTTGGCTCAAGTCATTATCTTCAAAAGAAAAGGTGTCCATGAAAGTGTACAAGTCACCCTGAAGGGGAGAAAGAGTGCACCTCTCTCCACACACTCCCTGGGAGTCACCACATCCATTTCCATCCCTAACAGCCTTCTAGATGTCACCTGGACATCTAAAACTCAGCATTTCCCGCATGAAATTCATGAACTTTGCCTAAATCTCTTTTTCCTGTGATCCCTGGATCACTGCTGTGCTGTTCCATCGACTCAGTGCCCAAGCAAGAAATCATGCCCAAGCACTGACCCTCGACTCTGCCCTTGAAAGTCTACCCCTCGACCTTTTGAGTTTACCTCCCAAATGACACTTGACCTTCTCCTTTCTCTCTGCAGCACCGTCCATCACTCCTGCACCCACCACGAGGAGTAATGATTCCATCCCATTCCCCCCACGCTTCGTCTTTTCTCTTCCCTCCAGACCTTCTTCCCCTTCCACCCAGCCTCACTCCTTTGCCTAATTCCCACTCACTTCCAGCTCATCCTCCATCCACCTGCAGCTCTCCTGCCATCTTCTCTGACCAACCCTTGGCCTGAATTGTGGCTTCTGCTCTGGGCTCTGCAGCAGTCCTTGCTGGCTCCCATCATGGCCCTTTCTAGGCTGGGTTCTAGTTCCATCTACTTGTTTGTATCTCCACTCTGCAGTCCTTTTTGCAGGCTGCGAGACCAGCACCCAGAATAAGGCCTGGTAGGTACCATGAAGGACTGAAGTGCAACCTGGTGCCAGTCCAGGAAGACAGGTCCATGGCGAAGGGCCCCTGGTGGGTCCAGGGCATGGGGTGTGATGGGCAAGTGAAGAGGACATCAAGAGTCTCCTGAGGATAGCTGAGGGCTGGAGAGTGAAGGGACATAAATACAAAGGCAGACAGTTTTATTTTTCAGGCCCAAACATGACAACACCAGCTGCTTCAGGAACAGGGGTCCTCCTCCTCGGTGGGAGCTAGAGAGGCAACACCCGGGTTCCCAGCCCAGGTCTGCCCCAGGGAGAGCCTGTCAGGTCACCCCCACTCCAAAGCCTCTTTGCTTTTCTGCCAGGTCGTGGATGGGCCTGGGGTCATCAGAAGTCTTCTCCAGCCCTGACTCAGTTCTGCCGGGCTCACTGACTTGTCCTGTTTCCAGTGCCAGGAGCTGACCCACAGCCATGACCGGCACTTCCTGCAGCAGAGCCATTCAGGAGTTAAACATCAAAAGTCCAATGCACAAAAAGGGAAAAAATTGCCACTTACCCGAGAGGATAAAGAAGATGCCAGAGACAAAGGCCAGTATTGTCCTGTGGGGACGGATGTGCCCGATGTTACTCAGGATAAACCCGATGAACATGAAGAAGAGGCTGACCAGAGGGAATGGTGTGGCCGAGCGAATCATTTCTAGTTAAAGGGACGAAGGAGCAGCCTGTCAGCCTCTAGCGGTCTCACCCACACTCCTCATCCCGAGTACAGTGTTCTGTAGTATCTAACCAGGGTCCTCCAAGCCGCACCCCTGCATGTGTCCCTAGAGCCATGACCCATGGGGTGGCCTGGGGACCGCCCAGTGCTGGTAGGGCTTTTGTCCCTGAGGCAGACAGAGCCAGAAGGTCTGGCTTCAAGTGCTAACATATTCAGAGCCTGTCTTCTCTGGGCATAAACTACTTCCTCCTCGGAGTCTACACTGACTGCCATATGGTAGCTGTGGAAGGACCTGGTCATGACATCTTGTTTCTTCTCTCAGCGACAGTCACCATTTCCATGTGCAAGGGGCTGCCCTGAATGGTGCAGGAAAAGTCACTGGCCTCCGTTTTCCTCAACCTATAATTACTTTTTGGGAGCATTTCTATTGTGTACCAAAGACTTTGATCTTTTTCCCAGTTCCCTGAGAGATAGCATCCAAATCCTTAGAATTTCCTAAGTGACAGAGTGTCTTTGTTAGTCATGATGGTCCCTAGGTACACCTGAGTTTATACCAACAGGTGACTCAGGACGGGGCCTGGAAAGAGCATCCATGTGATTAGAGGGTTGGGGTTTTGAGCCACAGGAAGGGAAGAGCTAGGTATTGAGTTCATTAACTCAATGGATGGGGTCTACTTAATAAAATCCAACAAAAACTCTGGACACCAGAACTCGGTTGAGCTTCCTGGGTGGTGAACACATCCATGTTTCAGGACAGTGATGCATTCTGATTTCAGCAGGAGAGGACACTGAAGATCTTCATTTGAGACCCTGCCAGACCTTGTCCTGTATGTCTCTTTGTTTGGCTGGTCCTGATTTATATCTTTTATAATAAAATTGTAATGTGAAGTATAGCACTTGCTTGAGTTCTGTGAGCCATGTTAGCAAAATGTTGAACTCTGGAAGCCACAGGAACCCTCAAACTTGTACCAAATTGGCTAGAAGTGCAGGTTGCCTAGGGACCTCTGATCACGTGTCTGGCATCTGAAGTAAGGACAGTCTTGTTGGAAACTGAGATCTTAAACCTGTGGAATCCATGTTAACTCCAGGTGATTAGTACCATGGGCCTTCCATGGGCTTTCATGAATTTGAACAACTGAAGATTCAAAGAGATGATTAAAAGTCTGAGGAGGAATGCGTGTAAGTTATATGCAAGTACTACTCCATTTTATATAAGATTTTTGTATCTGTGAGGGACCCTGGAACCAAGCTCCTTCACATAGGAGAGATGACTGTTTCAAAGTTGTTTTGCAACATTGCAAGCTCCCTATGGGATCAGAAGTAACTCTGGTGAGCTCAAGGTCATGAAGTCAGTCCCCTTGTAGTCCAGGGAGACCCTTTTAGTTTCCTGGGTATGAATGAACTCTCAATTGCTGGGGTCACAAGACTTGGAGACTGAAATAACCTGTCTCTACCACTGGAAAATTAGTCTGCAGGGCAAGTGTTAGTGAACTCAACACGCTGAGGTTAAGCCCCTTAGCTCTTGAGAACAGGCCGGTCACCCTGACTTCCTTTTGCCCTGTTTTATTCTGTGTAGCCAGTGGCCCAGGTTAGAGAGATCAATACACCTACTTAGAACATTGACTGTGGACTCGGACGTCAGCTGGGAGTTCATGGGCATCACATATTCTATGGTAAAGCAGCGTCCCCGCTCCTCACCTAGGAGACAAGAATTACTTATATTTCTAGGTTCTTCATGAACATGGATTTGAGGTTAGTACATTCAAGTGGTATTTCCAAATGCACATTGTTAGAGTCTGTAAACAAGTCAGGATGGCGCCTGGCATCGGACTGCGGCAGCACATAAGATCTTTGACTTGCTGTGTCATTGCACATGAGCTGAATACAAACCCTAGGGTCCCGCACTGGTGACCCACAGGCAGGGTGGGAATATGTTCTGACATCACATCCTTCTGGAGCATGGTCCTGAGCACCACAAATTGCATGATAAGAGGTCAGGACTGGGAACCCCACACTGGGCAAACGCCCCACTGTGTCTCCTTGCTTCTGGGTGGAGGGGGCTGATGGGAGTGCGCGGCTGGCTTAGATTCATGAGTGTGGGTGTCACAGAACAGGTCCTGATGACTTCAAGTTCTGCTTCAGATTTAAGTAGAGCCTGACGCCACACAGTCTGGGGCAGTGGAAGATCAGGTCAGAATGGGAGGCTCAACAAGTGACCAGGAAGCCAGGCCTGCTGAATCCCATCCCACCACCATCCCACCCGCCACACAGAGGTCACTTGCAAAAGCCCAGTGACCACTCTGTGGCTGTCCCAGCCAGCCCAGGCTTGCAGCCATTCTTGCAGGACATGGGGATGCTTTTCTTGTGCAGGCTGGAGCTGGGCAGTGATAAGGAGATCAAGAGCAGAGCTCTTGGAGCAGGGTGCCAGGGAAGCCCTGGTGAGCTGAGGGGAGGCCCAGGTAGGTAGGTAGGTAAGTATGATCAAAACCGGCACCACCCTGCAGGGCCCCAAGGACCTGCTTTGGGTTTTTCCTGTGTCACAGAAGAACAGAGAAACCGCTTAGTATTTCCTGTCCTGCAAATTAGGGGAGGCTGACTTAAGCTCCTGAGTGATTTGTAGAGTGGAAGCCATAACAAGCTTGGCTTCAGTGTTGGACGGTTACACAGGATCCCAGCTCGAGGAGCTGAGATGTGCAAGAACACCTGCTCAGGTCATCCCAGCCGGCCCTGGGGGGCGGGGCATGGGAGGGCGGAGCCTCAGGAGGGGACCTGGGAGCTGAGAGGCTTGCTCAACCCATTATCCACTGGAGAGTCCGCTCCCCTGCTGGGACCAGGTCCTGGTCACTGAATCCAGCACAGTCCAGAGCTTGTGGGGATTCTCTGTGACAACTGTCTCCTTCCAGCATCTCTTCCCCGGGAGGAACCACTTGGGGCAGGTTTTCCCAGCGGGAGGGCTGGTGCCCTTACCTGCCAGGAAGCAGACCCGCCAGAGGCCCGAGTGCAGGGACATCTTGACCTCAGTGCTCTGATTCTGGGGCAGGACCACGCCTTCCTCCAGGTACAGCCAGTAGTCGGTGCTGACGGCGATGCCCAGGAGGCCCAGGCCGCAGACGGCAAAGACGCTGCTCAGCAGGGTCAGCGCCTTCCTCCCGCAGGTGCTCATCTTCCCGGCCACTGGCTGGACGCCGGCCCGCACGGTGTTGGCTCTGGGAAGGGAGGGTGAGAAGGCCAAGATGAGGAGCAGTAGCATGAATAAAGACACCAGGTAACTCAGGGGCTTCGGTCTGAGCAATAGAGTTGGTTTTTTTTTTTGGTACTGGGGATTGGACTCAGGGGTACTTGACCCACTGAGCCACATCCCCAGCCCTATTTGTATTTTATTTAGAGACAGGGTCTTGCTGAGTTGCTTAGTGCCTCACTTTTGCTGAGGTTGGCTTTGAACTCACAATTCTCCTGCCTCAGCCTCCCAAGCTGCTGGGGTTACAGGCATGTGCCACTGCGCCCAGCTAGTTGTTTTTTTGTTTTGAAGCTTGCAAAGCACTGCAACAAGTTCTTGAAGAATCACATTACATACTATCTAAAAGGCTGGAAAGCCTATTTGGCTTTGCAAAATCTAGAATTTTCCAAACTTATTTGACCACAGAATGGCATCTCCATCGTGTTCTGGGAAACCCACTCTAGGAACCATGTTGCCCCCATGAAGAATAAGAAGACCTACTCTGTCCACGCTACAGAATTGCTGGGGGGTTGACTGCAATGGCAGAAGTCACTGTTTTGAAAAATCAGAAGCACAGTCCTGGTGCAGGGTTTTATTATTAGGCAACAATGGACTAAGCCCCCGCTTCTTGCAGAGCAGACAGATCAGAGCTCTTGAAATACAACAGCTGCTGCCTGGCAGAAGCTGAGCAGCCAATTTTAATGTTAAGCTTGGCAGAGAGCTGAGAAAGATTTGGGTCTTGGAGATTTGGAAGGATGGAAGTAGAGAGGAGATTGTATCTGAATCTAGAAAAGCAAGACATAAAAGAAGAGGTTGAAGGTGACCTTGCCTGCTAATCTCTGCAGCAGCAGACCCCAAAGCCTGGAATGTGCTGAGGAAAACCCTCAAAGTCTTAAACCTTCCCAGAGAACTCCACATGGGGTGAAAATAACAACCTTATTCATTATACAGATATATTTTATGCTTCTATTGTGTCATTGTATAAATATTTGTCAATAAATAATATCATGGATCGAGTGCCAGGCTACTGTGCAGAGTCCTCTATGTATCACGTGTCTCAGGACCTCAAAGCAATCTTGGAAGTAGTGAGTACCGGTCCTGCTTTGTGGATGAGGAAACTGGGGCTTAGAGATGTTATGTAGCCTACAGGACACTGTTGGTGCATGGCGGACCACAGATTTAAACCCCGGTCTGATTCCACATTCTTGCCCATGTGACATCATATATATATATATTTTTTAAGTTTTTTTAGGGCTGGGGATGTGGCTCAAGCGGTAGCGCGCTTGCCTGGCATGTGTGCGGCCTGGGTTCCATCCTCAGCACCACATACAAACAGGGATGTTGTGTCCGCCGAGAACTAAAAAAATAAATAAATAAATACTAAAGTTTCTCTCTCTCTCTCTCTCTTTTTTTAAAAAAAAGTTTTTTTAGTTGTAAATGGATGCAATACTTTTATTTATTTATTTTTGGTGCTGAGGATTGAAATCAAGGCCTCACACATGCTAGGCAAGAGATCTACCACTGAGCTACTGCCCCAGCCCCTAGACAACACTATCGTTTACTGAAGAAATAAATGGCTTCAGGGAGTGTGGGGTGAAGGACAAACACCCAAGGTAGGTTGCTTAGGGAATCCGGAAATGCAGAAGACATCATACTTGGAAAAATTTCTTTTTTGCACGGCCCAGGGTTACAAAAGGGCTGTTGCTTGATACTTTGGGATTCCCAGTTGGATGTCATCCGGCAAATCCCCTGGTATCCGTGTCATGGTGGTGCACTATGACTCAGCATTCCTGATTCAGAAAACCACCATGCAGGGAAGCAGGACTCATACTCCCCTTAACCCACACCAAAGACATTCAAGTTCCAGGGTAGGAGTCCCTGAGATCACCCAGCCTGCAACTTGGAAGGATGAGGGTGCAAAATGTAAATATTTTGAGCACTGATTCAGTGCTTCTTTCTCTGGAGTGCACGGAGAATGACAATGAAGCCAGATTTAAAGTTAGGTAGTCAGTGTAGTTAGATAAATCGGGTCTAATATCGAGTGAAATCTAAAATGGAGACCATGCGGAGAATGACTCAGGGAAAACACAGGACAACTCATGGAAGTCCCGAAAAGGCCCTAGGCCAAAGTCCACCTCAAAGAAATGTTAATGAACAGCCCCCAGCAAAAAGGTGCTGACTCAGAAGTCCTTCCTGACCAGATTACTTCTTTGGCCCACCTGTGTCCCACCCCTCGGGCCTTCCCACCTACATTCCATCACTAAAAGAACTATAAAAAGGGGAGACAACATCCCTTCCACGGATTCCACCTCTTGGGTCCCCTTCTTCCTCCGGGAGAAGTCTTTTCTGCTGTCCTTTAATAAACTTCTAATTTCTACTCTGACCTTGCCTCGGCGTGCTTCTTTGGTGTTATTCTTCAACACTGGGGAAGCAAGGACTCGTCACCAGTCAACAGCGGTAACAACAACACAGTAAATGAACATTACCTGTATGTCCCTCTCTGGAAACACCACCATTATTAATACCTTACTTCATGGCTAGAAGGTTCTTGCTTAGCATCTGGACGGCCATCTTAAGTGACAACCACCATTTTAAGGAAAAAGTTTTGCTTTCCCGCCCAAGGGCCTTTCTGAGAAAGACTCACCACTCCCTCCTACCAAACCCAACCCTTAATGGCCCACGTTAGGACCTGCCTGGCTCTGATTCCTGAGCCTCTCCAATAAAAGTCCCAGAACGCAAGCCTGTTTTGCCTCTCTCTCCTATAGAGAGAGGGCCTTTATTGGTCAGCTCTGAAAAATAAACTCTCGTGTGGATCTCTGCCTGGTCTCTGTCTTTCATTTCTTGCTTACCCATCTCTCGTTCCTCGCTTTCCTTTCAATGGCTATGCCATCTTTTAAAATTTCCTATGTAATTGTGCATGCGAGTCTGCACATTCTCCCACCCAAGGCCTTCAGGAGGCCCTTTGGAGACACTGTGGTTGGAATGGATTCCTAGCTCCTACAGAATCAGGGGAACTCACTGCTTCTCCATGTTGTGAATCTCCTCCCTGTTCGACTATGTTCATTTGTTTTATTCTGAAGGGAGGAAGGCAGACATTTTTTATTAGTTGCCACCCCAAGAAGAGATGTTGACCCTCTAATGTTCAATGAACAAAGCTGACTGCAAAACCATCATTTACTATCAGCTCTGCTGCATAAAAAATGCACAGACTGGGAAGAAATAAAACCAAAATATTGACGGTAGATGCTTCCAGGTAATAAGGTTATGTATATTTTATGCTCTTTATGTTTTTCTGTGCTCAATAAAGATTGTAAAAGAACATGTGTTATTTCTATAGCTAGAAAATAAAACTAAATTAAAGTTTAGAGACATTAATTCTGCAACCACTGCCCTTGCAAACAATAAATGCAGGGCTCTGGCTAACTCCTGGGCTGGGGACGCCAAAATGCAGTGTCACTCTTGGAAAACTTGGGCTAGGAAGCTCGACAGCTTTGAGCGTTTTAAGATGATTACCCGGTGCCATTACCTCTAAGTATTAGATTGTTAATTATCAGAAATTAACAGTTGCTAATTATTATCCATGGCTGGCAATTAGGGAGAAATGTCTTGTGGAGATTAAATCACTAATGGCACATTTTCCCTCCCAAGCCAATAGTAAAAGGGTTTCAAAGAGTGCTTAGGGGCTCAGAGGCAGGTGAGGTTAAGGGTGCCCAGGAGAGTCTAGCTATGGGACCGCTGAGGAGGATGGATGGAGGACAAACTCACATGTTCTGATCCCAGTCTCCCACTGGGCCCCAAAAGACCCCCATCGTGTTTTGATGAAGGGTTCGGGATTCTTGACAAAGCTTTGCAGCCAGTGACAGCAGCTGCTCTTGGGAGCTGGCTCAGTGACTCAGTGTTGGCTTGGCCACTGGCCAGCAGGGTGAGCTGGTGATCAGAGCAGAGTCTCCAGTGGTCCTGTAACCCTGCTCCTTCCCACCAGGCTGCCCCGTTATCTTCTATGGCGGTTGACACTCCCCCATTAAGCAGTGGGGTCTGTGTGTCCTGCCCTTGGTGTGGCAGGTCTGTAACTGCACTGATGTTAAAGCCCACAGTAGGAAGGCCATGCATGGGCTTTCTGAGGCTGGGTCATAAAAAGAGATGCAGCTTCCTCCTGACTCTTGGATGCTCACCAAGGGGAAGCCAGCCTTGGTGGTAAGAGACCCCACTCCCCTGAGGTCCCCACACGTTAGGATAGTGCTTCTTGGCTGCAGCCCTATTGACATTTGGGGCTGGATGGTTCTTTTTCTCGGGGGGCTGTCATGTGGGTGGCAGGTGGTTTAGCAGGATCCTTGACCTATTCCCCACTTCATGCCAAAATGTCAGACAAAGTTGTCCTGTTGGGGAAAAATGTTTCTAGTTGGGAAACTGTTTTTGAGGCTAGGTGCAGATGTCCTGGTGGACAGTGCAGCGGAGCTTCCAGCCCACAGCCAGCTGCGAGTCATGAGATTAAGTCTTCCTAGATGGACATCTAGCCTGGATGAGTTGCAGCCCCGGACAACATCCAACAGCAACTATATGAAAAATCACAAGAGCTGCCCAGCTGAGCACTCCCCAAATTCCTGACCCCCAAATCAAGAGCAAAATGAAACACTTGTTGTTTTATGCCACTATGTTTCAAGGTAATTTGATACACAGCAAAAGTTACTAAAATAGCTTCTTTACTCACTTAATTAGCATCTTCTTCTCATGGCCTAGATAGACTGTAAAATCCAAGGTGTGACTTTGGCCCTGAATGTAACTTAGTGATGGAGGGCCTGCAGCTCCTAGTCTATTCCTTGGAATTTACAGCCACGTGAGGTGTGAAGAGCATATGGGATCAGGCAAATTCAAGGGGAGGTGCTGGCTCTCCTATGTACCCATCCTGGGCAAGTCATAGCTCCACTCTGAACCTCAGTCTCTTCCTCTGTAAAAC